GTTGTTGTTTTTGTCAGAATATGCACTAACAAATATATATATATATATATATATATATATATATGAGATTTTTTTTCAGAAAAAAAATTCCTCACTTATTACTGCAGTTTCACATCTTGGATCTTCAGGTTGGTTTTTTTTTATATATATATATATATATATATATATATATATATATATATATATGCATGTGTGTGTGTGCATGTGTGTAGAATTAATGTAAATATAAAGTTTGTCACTTAGCTGATTGGTGTTACTTTCAGCATCCTGATTCTAGAGTTTCATAGACAGACCCTCCAGTAATCACTCCATCCACTCATCAGGGAGATATCAACAATTGACTGTTTATATTTATAGTTTGTCTTTTATATATGTACTTTTCATTGGTGCAAGGTTGATTTTTTTTTCCTTTCATATTGTGTGTATGTGTGTTTAAAAGAATTAATGGATTTATGTTTAATTCAACATTTTTATTACTTTAAACATTATTATATTGTATACTTTGATTGGATGAGATAAATAAATGTTTCATAAATAAAAATGAGCCTCTATTTCAAATGTGAACTACCCACTTTATTTGATTTTCACTGACTTTAATTCAGGCTAAATTTTATTTGTCCTTTTCTCAATGGTATGTGTGTGTGTGTGTGTGTGTGTACGCGCACAAAATGTAGTGGTTATATGTATGGATGGTTATGTGGATGTACAGTGTAGTGTCTTTCTACTTGTAGTTGGCTCCTAGAAGGAAAACTCTGCATTGTATATGATGAGAGCTATTTGGAGAATTTGTGGACTACAAATTCTTCAAACAGCTGATATGAAAATTTTCTACAACAGTCTTCACTGCAATAAGGAAATGTTACGTGTGAGTTAGCATTAAGGTTCAGTTCTGAAACTGAATCATTAGGCCTTCATACATCAAAATCAACAGGTTAATCCACTAGGATATGTATTTATGTTTGAAAAAAGTTGTAGAAATATCTGGATTGGTGTCTACATTGACCAACTGAGAGTGAGGGACCCTAAACCTTTGATAAGATAACTGATAAGAGTACAGGTTTCATTCAAAATGTCAGTAGTTCCTTTAGGCAAGTCAAAATTAAAGTACAATTATTATTCATAATTAATGAACAACTGTGGCACAAGGCTGAAGGAGAAGTGGGATAAGGCTGATCGTCCCTGTCCTAGACTTAGTTAATCAGACTCATGACCCATTCATTCATTACAATTAACTCATTCACCACAAAAACTCAACCTCACCATTCAATCCTACAAGTACGACAATACCACATATTCACAGGGAACCTACAAAATAACACCATGATGTAAAAATTCCTCTATGTAAAAATGATTAATGTCTTTTCTTTTCTTTTTTTTCCTACAAAAATATGTAAAACTTTCATGAATCATGAAATGAGAGGGGAGGGGATGAACCCCAAAACAATATAACAAGATCAACCTAAAATATAGCAGATGTTAGTAGGACCTGACAACCTCTCAAAAATAATAAGAGTGGCTGCTGTATTCTGCCATTTGGCAGAATCATAAGAAGCACAATCACAAATGAAGTGGGACGGAAAAATAAATGGAGTGGGAGAAACAAAGACTGACCTAGTCAGGATGAAAAGGAGACAAAAACAAACTGGAGAAGTTGGGAATCTTGACAGAGATCATAACAAAAATGAGAGTGCTGGGAACAACACTTACATTAACTAGGTAAACAAATAGTGTCTAACTTAACCAGAGGAGGGTTTACAGGAAACCGCTCCATTGCATCAAAGGGGACTTAAAAAAGAAAATCAAGGCTAGCCCAGTTCACATGAACCAAGCTCACCACAGTTACCCACCTTTCGCTAAAATCTGTTGATAACAAACATTTTCTATCAGTCCTGATCTTCATCTTGAGCTGATGCCCAAAGAACCTGACCAGAACCTGATGCGAAAATGTTCATATTGCAAGATTCCCTCTATCCGTGACATTGACACCACCATCCTTGCCACAGCTAGCAATGTGAAAAAAAACATCTGTTTCACCTGAGAAAATGGGGGCAACACATTATCACACATGTATATGAAATCAATGAACACAAACTGCTTGTGATTGATACAAGCTGTCAACTTGCTGACATAGTCTCAGAACGGGTGCACCTGAGGACAATGGTAGAAAGTATGTGAAGCTGTTTTGTCTAAACCAAGGTCACCCTGATAACAGTTGGGCAAATCCGCCCACCTCATCTGAAGGCAACATTATTGAGAGATACCTGGGTCTGAATTGATCACCAGGTAAACGAAAACTCAGGGTTGCTGAGATAATCAGTTGTTGGCACCCAAGACTCTAATGCTAGCAAGCTGAGCTGGCCACATAGAGAATCCTTTGTGACCCCTTCCACTAATTCATGAATTCACTGAACCAAGGATTGACTTTCAAGGCTGTCCAACACTCTTGAAGGAAACTTGATTGCTTCCAGGCCCTACAACAGTGCTCAGCCCTCAAAATGGGCAGAGGGATGGTAAAGTGAAGGAAGGCAGCCTAACACTCCTCTTCAAAATCAAGTCCTCTGTTAACATGCAACATAGGAAAGCTAACCTTGAGGCATGCTGATGGCACAACAAGTGTGGTATTCCCAGCCTGCATGACATGAACGTTGGGCAACAACCTCTTTGCAGACCTGATGTTTGTGGCCACTGCACAAGAGAGTAGACAACAAAACAGTGAGGGCCTTCCTTTGCACCTTGCAGAGAGGAAGTACCACCAATCAATAAAGGATGAAGAAAGATGTAAGTGGCATATGCCTCAGCTCTAACCTATATGGACAACCGTCATCAAAGCCAAGTCCGGACTGCTGCTTGGACCTTTGACTGTAGTCTTGACCAATTTTTCTCAAGCTGGAGGCCAGGCCTGAGCCACACTCCAAAAATGCAAAGGGGATCAATGTTACTACAGCATGACATGGAAATAGATACATCATTAGTGTATGCAGAAACCCTGGCCTGAGTGCATCCAGGGACATCGATTCTGTGTAGCACCAGACTGCACACCTTGTCCCT